TGTATTTAAACGACTTTTTTCTAATTCGGGATAAGCCAAGCAGGTAGTTTCCAATTTGTTAAAGTGTTCGGGGAAAAAAAGGGACGGCTACCAAATGATCTTTGAATTGAAATCTGTCATTTGCAGAATTCACTATATTGTCGCATACTTCTAATGCGGAACTCGGTGATCGTGACTGCTATTATTACGTCGTCTCCTTTTGTTGCCTTGGGGTTCAGTGCAAATACTTTTGGCTTCATTTATTGTCATCAATATTATTTCTCACATCGATAATACATTCTTCAAAATTATCGATAGCCGTTTTCTCTCGGTTTCTCTCTTCTGCAACTGGTTGAACAAGATTTCGACGTGAGGCATGACATGATGAAAAAAATGACAAACCAAAACACGAAAACAGAATCGTTTAACATACGGCGATTACCGCAAGCTGCCTTGCAAACGGTTTCATTAGTGAAATTTTCTTCTATTTCTTCCATGCATTCAATGAGTGATTCTCTGTTCTCAAACACTACATTTATTGTTCGAATATTAAAATTCCAACGAGTTGTTGTTCCTTGGGGAAATTTTTTCCCCACAATTCTGTTCAGTACCTGTATGCGTTGAGGAGAATTATTTAAAAATCCCTGAATATCTTTCAAATCCCCATAGAATACCCGAACTTGAGCATTTGCGGAAGCAGCTAAGGACATAATCAGGTTTAACTGATGCGCATAGCAATGCACATAGTGAGCAAATGGATCTTTGTTTAATTTTTGCCTGTACTCCAGCATTATGTGCGTTCATTACCGCGGCTCCATCATAGCTTTGTGAAATCAGTTTGTTAGGGAATTTTAATCGATCTACGACACTCAAAATACGTATCTGAAAATTGTTACCAGTTGGGTTTTCCCCGAAATGTCTGTTGGTTCATCTGCTATTATCGCCAAATACAAGGCTGTGTTAATCTGTTTAATTATTTCTTCAAGACAAACTTCAACAATACAATCCAGTAGATCGTTTTGTATTTCTTTCGAAGTTCCTTTAAATATTGAAGCATTTTTTATGTGTTCGCTTAAGGTTGTATCAAGCTCAGCAGAAAAATTAATCAGTCCACGATATATTCCCGGGTTTTGGGAGCTCTCGGTTTCGTCGTGGGTCCGTAGCGTCAATTCAAATGATCCGCAAAATTTTATACCGAGCACCGACCGACCAATGAGATATCGTACTTCGCATTAGATCTGTACGGATCTGTACAATGTGCAGCACATGCTTATGCTTAAATCGCGCCTTTGATTTTGTTGAGAGAGACAAAAGCAACCGCGTGCGGCTTGTGTCGAAGTAGTGCACAGACCCTTTTTAAGTGGTCCATGAATAATGTTACGCTGCAGTCGTGACGAAAATGACAAGTACGCAATTGGTCGATTATAATGCTTTCTCAATACAAAACAGACTGGACGCCGTATCTTGCGGGGGCAGCGTTGCCGGTATTGTTTCTATTTGTATGATAACATGGAAAATAAATAATGATCAAATTACTACTGCTTTTTTCTGTTAAGACAAAAGTTTTGGCAGTTCTGCAGCTCTGCAGAACTTAAGGGCCAGCCGCCCCTGATCAGGTTCAAAATGCCGTTTTAACAAATCAGCTAAGCTTTCCCAAATTTTCGGTTTGCCCTTAACCAGTTTAACGTTTTCCCATTGAAAAGATCTACAACCGAGTTAAACAACTGTTTTTCAGTTAAGTTACGAGCTGACCGTAGTTCACTAATCCTTTCTAAAAAGTTATGGACAGGTCGCCGGAAAATTTTAAGTTCCATTTCTCTATGTTTTGAGGCTTCGGTGGAACAGTTTAGACAATGGGAGGTCTGGATGAAAAATTCTGTACGGTTGAATTATGGATAGGAGTTCTCTGGCATTCCAAATTTTCATAAAATTTTTGAAAAAGGATATTTAATTAAGGGTCTTGTCCAGACGCAGTATCTAAAGAACCTAATGCTGTCAAAACATCCATTAAGAGTTCATTCCTTTGAATTTCATCTTCTGTGCTCAGGATTGAATCGATTAGCACGGTTGAGGAGGTGGAACAACCCTTGACTGAGTGTTAAGAAATCTGTTTTGGGCCCCCTCCTCTGAAAGGGTACAGATAGTATCATTTGCCTCATCCAGCAATAGCCAAATCTGCACCTTCTTACGTTCAAACTTAAGGTTATATAGTGGAAGTTTAAAAGTTACAGCTTTTTCCAACTTTAATAGAGAGCGTAAAGTGCTTCCCAGTTTGTCAACCGTATGACTTTCGTCAAAAGCAACACCACGGATTAAAAGCTCATGAAGTAAGATCTCTTTTTTAAGGTGACCAACTTCCATTTTAAAACCCATCTTGCCGACAAACAAACTAGTCTTACACAGACAAGAGAAAAAAAGAAAATGCAATAGTCAATAATAGCAATATCAAGTAATGTAATCAACAATAATGTCTGTTCAAAGGTTTCAATAAATTTGCAAAAGTATGTTCAAAAGATTCAACAAATTATTTGGCTCTTTGTATTTGTATGTTCTAAAATGATAGGCCCTAACCATTGGGCGCCATGAAATTTGCCACGGCTTTCTTATGAACAAGAGGAAATGGTGGTGATTCCTCTTTATTTTTTTTAACAAAAGACATTATTTTGTATTTCCAAAGACAAATGTAGAGGTGTTTTAAAACGTCTTGGACCGTGACCGTTACATTATGTGGATGCGCAGAAGACAAATATTAGAACTGCGGGAAGAATATCACCCTAATCACAAATATAGACTTTTTCGAGGCAGACTGTCGGTACTTATTGGCATGCTCGTATAGATTACGATTTTGTATGTTGGATTTCCTTTATGTTATACCAGGGTTATATTCAATATGTGAGTTTAAAAGTTTTGGAGATTGTAGATGACTTATTGTATGAAACAGCGTTAGCATTGAAGTTGGTATTGTTCTTGTTCATGTATAAAGCTTTGATAATTATTAATAATCACCACACGCTTCTATTCACATTTTATCTGCCAACCGAACAGATCTATGATAATATTTTTTCTTAAAAGGGTTGTTTATAGCCAGGGCCGCTAGATTGTATATGTTTTTCAATTCATGAGCTGTAAAAAGGAGGCAGGGGAAGTCATTTTACCTCCAAATCAGCTGATGAATCGAGTAACAGAGGCCACAGGTGTTTCACTCAGTACAGCCAAACGCATTGTGAAAAAAGGTTCGATCAAACCCACAGGCAATAAATTTGTCTCCCCAAGAAGAACTGTTTCTAAACCAAGTCCGAAATCAACAGTGGGCAGGTTTGAGGCAGAGGTAAGGGAAATAATTTATAAATTTGTCCATATTCATAAGCGGCATCCTACCATTAAAGCCGTTTATGAAGCTGCAAATAATGGAGTAAACGCTGTGGGGAAAATCGGATCCTTCAGAAAAAAATTTCATAAATTAGGTTTTTGCTGGAAAAAAGATAATTGAAAACTGTTGATTGATAAACAAGACATTGGTTTAAAACGAATTGAGTTTTTAATTGAAGAAATACAAGGAAATGTTGTATGTTATGATATGTTTTCAGTCTATTCAGCAATATCGATATCTATCACAAAATTGTCATAAAGCTTAATATGTATTTGAAAATTTTTTATTGGACATCCCAACTAGCAAAGTAGTGGTATAAGCTTTTGGTAAAAGAACCGTTCAGCCATCAAAGCTCTCTATTGTTGTTGCCTGAACACCAAAATGCTGGCTTAATGTTGTGTGGAATGCAAATTTGCTTTCTGCAACATATTCGCTCTAAAATGAGGTGTTTAAAATATTCTTATAGCATAGTTATACAACACCTTATAGGGCAAATTTTTAACTGTTGCATAAACGTTTATACAACTATTTTATACGGCATATTTGCAAGTTAGTCAAAATGGTTGTGTTGTGGCACCCATGCTAACGTTTCAAGACAAACAACGCATGCATATAGGTTCAAAAGGTTTTATCAACTGTTCAAACAGAAGCTACAGATCTGGTACAAATTCTGGGTAAATCATTCGACTCTGTCGGTATTTCATTTCAGACATTTGTCAAATTGTTGTATAACACCTGCAGGCAACACCAAAATATTCTAATAACATAAAGACGATGACATGATTGTACACAACCACCCGCCATATTGGGCAAAGATTTATTCCTCTATTTAATATTAAATAATTATGTTTCAGTTCGAAATTACAGATATAAAGTGATAAAAATTAGTGTAATTGTGTCTAAATATAGGATTTGTGGAAGATTTAACGCAGATAAGTTCAGTTTTCCATCTTAAAAATCTAGACATACTTTTGATCATTGCCAAAATATGAATCAAATACGAAGCCCGTAGAAATTGGGTAACATATTTGCACGATAATCACAGTAAAATTTGCTGCGCAAATAATTCAATAGCCCTATACCAAAGTGTAGAAGTTTATCATATACCTGTGTATGAAATTCACAATGGCCGATATAAAAGTAAACAAGATGACTGTAATGTGTTAGTTATATATTCTTCACTTCGTCTATACAATACATAGGAAATAGTTTGGTTGCAATAAAGTAGAATCACGTAAGAGAATAGTTGTATAGTTGACAAAAACTGAATCTTGCACTGACGCAAATGTCCTATAGCGGCTTGCAAGAGGCTTACACTTTTGTTTTATAACTGTTACCTGCAGCCCTTACACAACTTCTTAAATGACTGAAGTGTCCTATTAGGTGTGCCCATTCCGCTTGTATAGCTGTTCTAAGAGGGTTTTGCTAATGTTCTTACAGTATACAATGCTGTTTAAGGAATACTGTATAATCATTCTTGCAACTCTAATAGGAGTGATAATTGTTAGTTGGGATGTGACCAAATAAATATAAAATTTAAGCGTTAAGATACATGAACGACAGCAAAAATTAGTGTATACTGTATGTATAGGTATGATTTAACAAAAATGTAGTGAATAATGATTTCATTGAAAGACCGCATACTTAACAAATGAAGACTTTTGCTTTCAAAATAATTTCCTTAAAGTTTGTAGAAGTAACAGTTTGCTCTAGAGGAGACCTTTTCGCAGGTAGGAACATTGTATACAACGATGAGACTTGCATTCACAGCTCTCATACAGTGCCAAAGTCCTGGGACGATGAGATAAATACCTCTCTGCAAGCACCACTGGTCAAGGGAAAACGAGTAATTGTGTTGCATTGTGGGTGAAAAAAGGGCGTTGTACCGAATGCAGAACTTCTCCTCAAATCAGGTTTGAAAAGTGGTGATTACCACCTTCCCATACTGAATAACCCAGTCTTACTTATTTGTCAGCTACCAGGTACGCTACTGATTCCATACCACACCACCGAGAACGATTATAAGCCAGTTATATTAGCTCTAAGCACGTCATTGATCACATAAATGGTAGGGAAACAGCGTTTCAAACGGGAATCAAATTAAATGAATATCATTCTCAATGTGCCCTTAAAGAATACGCGTTCTGTAATTGATTTATGTTGTATCACCACACCAAATTATTTAATAAATAGGTGTGTGACAAAAATTACCGAAATAAATTGACTGACCTACAGCAGACCTAGATCAGTTATGTTCTTAGCAATGCTTATATTGTGAAGCGTCTGCTTCTCCACAGATTTGAATCGGCGCATGTCGTCTAACGGTCATGGCTCACGTCGTTTTAAAACACCGCTAACGCTGTTTTAGCTTTCCTTACCTAAAACTTGATATAACCTTCTTTGACTCTAGCCTATTTACAAACCGGCTATATTTATATTCACCTTCCCAAGGTCCCCTAGAGAGGAACAATTTCCAATGCTTTTCCAAAAATTCCGCCTTAAGTTGACGTCGATCGTTTTCACAACTGAGATGAAAGGTAATATAGATTTGCAGATAAAACATTTATATGTCCTCCTTAGATTGATAGTACTTGTTCTATTGACCGCATCTCTGCCCTTTTGAGACTGGCTTGTACTCGCATTTTTGCTTACCATGGAAACGAAAAGGTAGGTTTCGTATTATACATAGTATTATTCGGTTTTTGAATGCATTTTGTTCAAATAATCAAATTTTAAATGTTGTAATTAGTAATTACATATATTTATGTTTCAAGTTTGATAGTTTAAGTACCCTCTATGGGATCTCCGATCTGGAGAGCACTAAACATAACTTAATCCTAAATAAAACTTTGTATACAAATAGAATACTTACTTTAGATGTATGTAATAAATGTTATTATAAACTCAGGAGCAAGAATCTACAACCAAGTGCAAAAGGTTTTTTTTATATATATACTGACTGACTTGTAATGTCACGTATTCCTGTTAAGGGGTGATAGATTAGGTCAAAAGCAACCGATTTTGTCCTATATTGTCCTATCCAGAAGTTAACCGTTTTTGAGTTATTTCAATTTTATTTTTTTTTTATTTTTTATTCCGATTTCAGGCGGTTAAATTTGAAATACAAAAAACTACATGTTTGATTTTGAGTTTTTTGTTATCGTCGCATAGCGGACATTCCAATAGTTCATAATAAGTAATAAAATATTAACAACTTACAAAAGTTTTAAAATTACGCTTTTGAAATGTATGATTTTCTTATATTTTTACTAACTTATTCGACAAAAAATGCAATTTTCTGTAAAAAATCTCCTATTAATGAATTGTGCAAAATATCTCTATCTAACAAGCTTTCATTTGAGGTATAAAAGTTACAACTAACTCAAGTACAAAGACATAAAATTAAAAAAAGATGAGTAAAGTTGTACGAACTATAATTACGTAGGATAAATAAAAGGCTTGTATTTTAATTACAGTTTTATTTAATTACATTCCCTTTAGTATTTTACAGATTCTGCTCAAATTGTAATCCCCTGTTACGAATACACGCCCGCATTCTCTTAGTTAATTCACTTTTGGTAACCCTAGTTGTTAAGCGGCTTTTTATTTGGTCAGCTGCACTGATTATCCTTGTAATATGTAATTAATTCATCGCGCGTTGGTGCGGGCGAAACATCGTACACCAGGCTTTTCATATTTCACTACACATAGTAATCCATCGGTGTGAGATCTGGGCTTCTTGCTGGCCAGGCAATGGGCCCGCCTCTGCCAATCCATTGATTTGGAAATGTAGTGTCTAAATACGTACTAATCTACTGTAGTGTGCGGGACAGCCGTCGTGCTGGAACCGCATATTTTGTCTCGTCGCCAATGGGACGTCTTCCATTAATGGAAACAAGTGATTTTTCAAGAACTCTTCATACAGCTCTCCATTTAAATTGGCGGGCAGAAAATGAGGTCCAATTAAATATCCATCAATGATGCCCATCCACACATTGACAGAAAACCGGCTCTGAGACGCCGTCGGTCTTATTTTTCGGGAGTTTAAAGCTTCTTTATCAGCCCAGTAAGGAGCATTAATTTTCTTAAAATAGTCTGGATCTTCTGTATCTGCATGTAACATGTACCTGCAGAAATCTAATCGTCTTGCAGGATCGCCCTCTTCAATCACATGCACAGGCGTGTAGTGATAAGGGTATAATCTTCAGTATGCACAGTAAGCCATACTTTGTATTGTGATATACCCAACTGAGCAGCTACAATGCGCGTAGACGTAGTAGGGTCTTCCTGAAACACACGAAGGATTTCCTTTCCTCTTCATCTTCAGGAGGATAGACTCGGGGTCGACCGGCATCACTATGTTGCCTTTGAACACGTCCGGTTTGGCGGATGCGCCGATACACAGAGTCAAACACAGTAACATGAGGTGTTCGGCGATTCGGGAAACGTTGCCGATATTCACGGCGGGCAGCTGCAGAATCGCCGTTACAAAGTCCATAACAGAACATTATGTCTGCGTATTCTTCATTTGTAAAAGTTTGCCCGTGCTCGCTATGGCGAGGTCCTGGCGGATCTTCTGCGTCTGCCATGATGATAAAGAAACCACTCGAAATGAACTGGGAAACTCGAAAATAATAATCGTGCGTAAAACGTGTGCGTGTACGCAGTAGTTGATACCAATTAAACCTAATTCTCACTCGGCGTGCGGCGATGGCGTAACTACATTGATGAATAATAACAGCTCTCTCTCTCTCTCTCTCACTCCTCCACTAAGTCAGCTCTTCTCGCTCGCTTCCTCGTTGAGCCGATGCCATAAAACAATCATAGCATGCGAGTCCTTTGAGGACAGTAACGACTTGTTCAAACATGTAATACAAATTCCTTAAAAATCCAGCCTCTGTGATACATTTAAGAAGCGTAATTTTAAAACGTTTGTAGCTTTTCAACATTTTATTACTTTTTTTTTATTTCAGTTTTAACCGTCTGAAATCGGAATAACAAATAAAAAACTTAAAATTCAAATAACTCATAAATGGTCAACTTTTGGATAAGACATGATAGGACGGAATCGGTTGCTTTTGACCTAATCTATCACCCCTTAACAGGAATGCGTGATATTACAAGTCACCCTGTATATATTATATATATATAATGAAATTCATTATTTAAAGTTTATAATTCATGTAAATTTTTTTCCACTTGCGTCCTTAATTCAACTTGCTCAAGGTCAATATATATGTTTTTAGTGTTGCTCGATCGTTAACTCCGGTATTAGGCATGCTATCTAACAAAGTTGATTACAAAAATTGTAGCTAACGCTATACTCCTCATTTGGAAAATATTTTCATCTCTACAGGGTGATTCATAACTACGTGGGGACACAAACATCCACTTTTTAAATGATAAGGAATACCCGTTATTGCAGATTTGGATAGGCTTTTTTAAACAATTAACTATAACATACTATGGAATTTAATTGATGAGATATTCGACAAACTACCGAAAAAAATAACACTCAATTGCGACGTCTCTCAATTTCGCCACTGTTATAGCTAGGCTATTAAATATTTTGTCAGAAAGATTTTACGATACTATATTGTGCTTATATCTACTTATTTTTCCACTTTTTGGATGGTTATACAAGGTGGTCATGAACGCAAAATGATCGATTTCTCAGAATTTTCAAATGGAACATCCTGTATATTTTCAGTTTCCTTGATTTCCCTTTCTACAAACTTATTTTGATATAAGGTTTACTAAGGTCTCTATAACTGGTTTTTGAGTAACAGTTAACCGTATTCTAAATCGGATATCAAGGTAAATAAAAAATATTATAATACCTTAACCAATAAAAAATAGCATTTGGTTGGTAACGTCTTTGGAATTGGTGTATTTTTATGATAAATTAAATCTACCTGCCTCTTGCAATAAAGTCGAAAAGAGAAGGTATCCCTGTGTTTTTTGTAACTCAAAAACCAGTCGTACATACTCCCATAAACCTTACTCGTAGATCAGAATAAAACTTGTTTTATTGACAACCCAATATAAACTATCCAATAAACTGACAAAGTAACTGGATAGGAACCAAATATGGTATACTACAATTTTTTGTTTCAATACTCTAGTTATAATAATTGCGAGAGTGCGAGCTGTTACAGTTAAGAGTTTTCTCCGATAGTTTCTCCAATATCTCAACAATTTGAGAATAAAACCGTATAGAACGTTATATCAAATTGCTTCGTTTGAACAAGTCTATCCAAATCTGTAATAAAATTTAAGGTGTTCTATTTAAAAAAAGTGTATGTTTGGGTCAGCACGTAGTTTTGAATCACCCCGTAGAAATAAAAATATGTTCGAGTAAAGAAGGTGAAAACATTCAGAATAGGCAAAATAAGAATCTTTTCTTATTCAAGCTGTATTGTAATGAACCTCCGCGGGAATGCAACGTGACCTCTGGGAATGGCAATTAGTCAATTAACCTTCACCTCGATCCGTGCAAATTGCTTGGTGAGGACATCGCACACGTGGCAAGCAATGCTCTTAGTTAAAGCCATCCTCACCACATGCTCCAACTGACGTGTTAGTAGCAGCGATTACCTACAATTCACCTTGTTGAGGCCAAGGTTTAGTACGTCCCTGTTATGCAACTGCATCTTAAAACGAGGCCTTTCGACACGTGCTTGGTTCTTAAATGTTAATAATGCTGTATTTAATTTCCAGGGTGGAAAGGCGATTTTTATATAACTCGAATAGTTCCTATGAATATTAGACAAGGCTATCTTCATTTCAGAAAAGATCTACTTGAAGGTAATAGCCTCCGCGAACGTGTTGTAACGCTTCAGTTGTGTACGAGGGCGGTTCAATAAGTACCCGTGTTAGAAATGAAGACACTATTTTTTTCAAAAAATTTCTTTTGTTTTTCAGCATAATCCCCTTTTAGAAAGATACACTCTTCCCGCCGTTCTTTGATAGATGGCAGCAGACGATGATAACATTAACCTCCCTGAGGAACGCCCTCTGTCGTCAAACACGGGTACTTATTGAACCGCCCTCGTATTGTCATAAGAATAGCAAGACAATGTTAGGATTTCCATATAGAATTCAAATACCTGGATTTGAACACAAAGTCAGTAGTCGAATATTGGGATTCAGAAACGGTATTCAGAATCCA